CCTAGCAGAAGGACAGAAGGAGAGGGAGAGCGAGAGAGCAAGAGAGACTGGGACAAGATCTCATGTCCACGGGGGCGTCCATGTGGTTTTGCTCTGCATTCTCTCTGACCACTTTATTTCCCCAAAGACTCTTCCTGGATCTCCCCATGTTGGCTGCGAGATTCAGAATTCATCGAAGCTCAGATTTGCCAACAACACTTGAAGACTGGATAATGACATGAAGATTGCTTTTCCCCTCCCCAACTTTGGGATTTGGAGGAGCAGCCTCTAGAGTTGCGAAAGCCTACTTTGCTGCGGGGATATTTCTGAAGGCCCTCACTCTCTGCTCACTGGCCCTGTGCAGCTGGGAATCACAGCGTGGCCGTCCAGGGTGGCAGGGACCAGCTGGGACATGGAAATGGCCAGCAGCCCCGTTTGCTCTTGCTCATTACCAGAAGTTGCCAGAGCACATGCAGCATTCTGGGAATTGGGGTTTCTGTAGTTTCTCTCCAATGGCCCCTCAGGGGCAACAGGCAGCAGACATGGACCTCATTTTGCCAGAAAAGTCCAAAAGGAAGATGGCTGCTGTTGTCAATTATTGGCATTTTCACAGGACCCTATTTTTATTTCTAAGTATATGCACACAGCTAGAAAGCATCTACTGACAGAGATGAGATGATAAGCTGTACTGATGCCAAAACAGGACGAGAAAAACAGGCTTGTTTTGAGAATGGGCTGCATCCTGAGAGTCCATGTTAAGAAAATTCTCCACAGGCAGTATCTGTTCTTAGAACATTAACACTTGAAAGGAAGTAAGGTTTGGAGTCGCTAACACATAGCACAGTCATGCACACGCTAGGTTCTCAGTACATGCATGCTGGATGAAGGAACCCACACACACGTGCACGTTTGGGAGAATGAAGAATCAGCAACCCAAAAGAAAACTTTACTCCCCTGCGTGTGAGTGCCAAGTCTTTTCTCTCCCTTGGCAAGATCAGGCAAAATGCTTGTGCCCTCAGGACTGCTGAAATTCTAGCACAGTGTGCTTTAACACCGTGCACACTATAAGAAGAAAAGCAATGCACAAGTGTCACCTCCCTGGGCAGCAACAGCCAAGCTGTTTGAGCCTCCATACTGTGGTTTCCTTAAACAAGAAAGGGATTATTGGGGAGTGAGGCCAGCATCCTGGGTGGTGACAAAAAAGGAAGTTGGTGGAAAGTGCATCACCCAAGTTGCATCACCCAGCTCTGTGGCCTGGGTGGCTTCCCAGGATTTCCAGCCAGAGACAGGGCCTTGAAGAGGTGGGGGGCAAGACTATGTATGATGACACAGACCGTGAGAGGCAGAGCCAATGGGGAGCTCAGCTGAGGCCACCCCTAACCTTAACCCACCAGTACACATCTACCTGCTGTCCGCTACCTCCAGGCCAACCTGTGGCCATGGGACATTTGCCCATTTTTTTTGATGGACACATTCTTTCCCTATTGATGGCCCACACAGAACATAAGAGAAGTAATTCAGCAGTTTCTTTCTTATCCCACTGCCTGTCTGCTGCTTACTCATTCTGTGCTCTGTTTGCTTTGGATCAAAGTGTCTCAGGGTACTAAAAGTGACAGTATTCTATGCAACTGTATGGAAGCCACTATTCTGGCCATTCTGGGTCTGTTATTGTTGTCTCTTTTGTTTTAAACCTTAGCCATTTTCCATTCTGGGCAATTATAACTCTGTTTATATTTATATTAGGTCATTAAATGTGAAATGTCCAGGCCGGGCGCTGTGGCTCACGCCTGTAATCCTAGCTCTTGGGAGGCCGAGGCGGGCGGATTGCTCAAGGTCAGGAGTTCAAAACCAGCCTGAGCAAGAGCAAGACCCCGTCTCTACTATAAACAGAAAGAAATTAATTGGCCAACTGATATATATATATAAAAAAAATTAGCCGGGCATAGTGGCGCATGCCTGTAGTCCCAGCTACTCGGGAGGCTGAGGCAGAAGGATCACTCGAGCCCAGGAGTTTGAGGTTGCTGTGAGCTAGGCTGACGCCACGGCACTCACTCTAGCCTGGACAACAAAGTGAGACTCTGTCTCAAAAAAAAAAAAAAAATTTGAAATGTCCAATTATGAATCAAAAATGTAGTTTATTATATCTCAATCAAGAAGCAGCACAAGTAATCAAAGTATGAACCTAAACTATTGGCACAGTTTTGCCATCTTAACGGTAGCTGATTTATGCCAGCACAGAAGAAGCCTGGAGAGTGAGTGGCCATGAAATTGTGAAAGGCATTTTCCACAGCTTGTTGAGAATTGAATATTTTTCCTTGCAAAAAGTGATCCAAAGCCTGGAAGAAGTGGTAGTCGGTGCAAGATCTGGTGAATATAGTGGATGAAAGAGAGTTTCCAAGTCCAGTCTGTGTAGTGTGAGCAGCATTGTTTGTGTGACATGTGGTCTAGTATTGGCTTGCAAGAGGATTGACCCATCTCATGACCAATCTCGGCTGCTTAATCACAAGCGTCCTCATCATTTTGTCAAATTGGTTGCAGTAGACATCCACTGTCATAGACTGACCAAGTTTCATGAAGCCGCAGTGGATAATACCAGCGCTGGACCACCAAACACACACCATTAGATGTTTTTGATGAAAATTCAGTTTTGGACTATGTTTTGGCACTTTATCTTTATCCAACCATTGTGCTGAATGTTTACAGTTGGCAAAAAGAATCCATTTTTCATCACACATAATGATATGATATAGAAATGGTTCACCTTTATGTCATGACAGCAAAGAAAGGCAAGCTTCAAGACGATTTCTCTTCTGACTCTCATTTAATCCATGCAGAGCCCATCTATCCAGCTTCTTTACCTTGCTGTTTGTTTCAAATGGTCCAATATTGTTGGAATAGTAACAGAAAACCTTGCTGCCATTTCATGCATAGGTTGAGTTGGGTTCCCTTCCCCTACAGCTTTCCACTCATCATTATCCACCTTGGTCTCAGGTCACCCATATGGCTCATTTTTGAGAATACAATCACAAGAGTGGAACTTCTCAAACTATCAACATACTGTGCATTCATTAGCCAAACAGTTCCTTGATATCCTTCCCATACACTTCATTGATATTTCTAGCTGTCTGTGCTGCATTGGTTCCACAACAGAACTCATATTTGAAAATAACTTGAATTTTTGACTTATCCATGGTTTCACAAAAATTGCTCTAAAAAAATGTTTGAAAGATAATCATAAGCCAAAATGTGTGTTTGAAAGACTGAGGATGTACCTTCACAGTAAAAATAAAACAAGAAGTGTTAAAGTGAAATGTCAGGGATATCAACTGTCAAGCTTAGCACTTAAGGAAATCAGACTTTTCGTATTTAATGACCTAATATTTATGAATTCCTTTGTGTGGGTGTTGTCCCCATTCCCAACCTTCAGGCTGGTGCATGAGCAGTAACTCTTTGACATATTACTAGTATAAAGTCAAGGATTTATAAACGTGGGAGCCTTTAACTTAAAGGTGTTGATGAGGATAGGGGAGGGGAGGAGAAGTATGTTTATGGGATGGTCAGTGGGCTGAATAGAGGTAAGACCAAAAAACTGTTGCTGAAACACACAATCTGGGGAAGAATCTTATGCCATCTGCTCTCAGCAAGTGGTGTGGCTGGGCAGAATGGGGCTTACTTCTCGAATGTGACAAAATCCACCCTTGTGGTCCCAAGAAGAGCCTGCTCCCCTCAGCCTGCCTCTTGTTCTCAATACTTCTCACCTCATCATCCCTCACCTTCCTCTTGTCCTTGGCCTGAGCTCACGACTTACTGTCATAGGATTCCTTCAGTTACAAGTGAAAGAAACCCAACTCACACTATCTTAAGCAAAAAAAGGAGTATGTTGATTCATGTGTTAGGAAGGATACCATGAAAGCTCAAAGGTCAAATAAAAAACATGTAAGAACTAGGACCTTGTGACTAGAATTGGGATCCGTGTCAGATCTCCCTCCTGCTCTCTCACACTCACTCTCTCGTCCCCTCCCTCCCCCTGTACTGCCACCTCTGCTTGCTGTCTCTGGGCTCCTTTCTGCAGACTAGAGCTCCATGTGCTGGGAAGAGAGCTGTCCAGAGCCCCGTATTCTCATCCTCCTAGTTTAGCAACCCTAGAGTAAAGACTATCTTTTTTTATAACCTCATACATAATCCCAGACAAAGGGCCTGATAGTCTAGCTTGAGACTATTGCTGTCCAGAAGAGTAGAGTGCCATGATGGTCTCAGCTTTGGTCCTGAGTCTACCTGTGGCCCAGAGAGCAGGATCTATAACCAGGAGAAAGGCAAGAGAGGAAACCTTCCTGGCAGTGAAAAACAGCTTTGGACCTTGGCCAAGGTCCTGAGCCTAAAAAGTGCATCAGCCCCAAACCTGACCTGAAACACAGAAGCAAATTAAATCCTACCTGGAAAAAAAATCATCTTCCAATCACTTAGCCACTCACTCATTGCTCTATCCATGAATCTCACCCAAAGTGTCACATGTCTTCTGAGAAAGAGTCTGCATGGCCATTACTACGTGTGGAGTGAGCAGAATGAGCTGGGTCTAAGCTCTGCTACCTGCTCTACAGCTTATCCCAGCAGGTCAATGAATCTCTATGCCTTGCAGTGTCTTGATGTGAAAAGGAACAATAAAAAGCTCCACCCAGGGGTTGTCATCAGCATTAAATGGAAAGTTGATGTTGGTGTCGGACCTGTCCTAGAAGGGGTGGCCAGTGTCACCACTGCAGCTCCAAGGTTCAGAATCCTTTTGGGGGAATCTTGGCTCACACGCAGGAGGCCACATTGGTTTCTTGGTGTCCTCAGACATGCATACCCATTAGGAATTTTACAAAGTTGCTTGGTTTAAAATGGGTCCGGAGCATCCCCAATGCTGTCCTTCTGTGTGAGGGGGGGAGGGCACGGGCTCATTGTTACGTCCCATGAACACTCCGAGTCTCCTAGACCTCATCCTCTTTGAGTTTCTCTCTCTCACTTTCTCTCTGCACATTCAGGAGTGTACACATTTCTGTCCAGCACCCTGAAGTCTCTGGAAGAGAAGGACCATATCCACAGGGTCCTGGACAAGATCACAGACACCTTAATCCACCTGATGGCCAAAGCAGGCCTGACCCTGCAGCAGCAGCACCGGCGCCTGGCCCAGCTCCTCCTCATCCTCTCGCACTTCAGGCACATGAGGTGAGGCATCCACCGGCTTCCCACAGGACAGACAGAAAGAAAGCCCACCCCAGACCCACGGAAGGGCTGATGCCTGGATGCAGATAGCACACTTGCAGCAGTCCCTGGCACAGAATAAGCATAAAATGCTATGCAAGGACAGAAGAAAGAGGCTTTAAATCTGCCCGGGACATGGGGCAAGTGGCAGAGCAGACTGCAGAGAGGAAGTGATGCTTAAAGCTTAGCTCAAAGCATGTGCTTCTGCTTTGGAGCGGGGCTGGGGGGCGTGGAAGGGATTGTGTAGTGTCCGGGTGGGTGGGGAGGAAGCCAGTCAAGAGAAGTCTGAGCATTTGCATCCTCTGAAAGCACTGGACACATCGACTTTTGTTTCTGTGCCATACTTTCCCTATTTATACTTGGAAATCCTAAATGAGAGTCTCCAGATGCCTCATGGAGAGTCAATGTTGACCCCTCCATGCCTCTTGAACCCTTTCTGTCACCCCCATGGCTACTACCCTAGTCCACGCCACCATCATTTTCTTTTGGATTTCTGCACCAGCCATCTGACATGATCCCTGCCTTCAACCAAGATCCTTTCTAATCCATTCTCCATGATACAGCCAGAGTGATCATTCTAAAACCAAATCTAATTATGCCACCCCCCTGTTTAAAACCCTTAAATGGCTTCCCATTGTTTTAGATAAAAGTATAAATGCCTTTATTTTGCTTATATCACTCCTTATGATTCAGTCCCTACTTAGCTTAGTAGGACTTCCTCATGTCTGAGCTTTAGCCATAATAAGCTGTGCTCTGAGTCACTTGGGAGGCTCTACTTCAGACTGCAGACTGGCCGGGCAGCTCTGTTCATCTCAGCTGGGCTCACTCACATGTCTGTGGGGCAGCTGATCTCAGCTGGGCACAGGTGGGGAGGAACAAGCCACGGCCCTGCAGGTTGGCCAGGTGAGTCTGCCCCACCCCCACGTGTCTCCAATCTCTTATCCTCCTTGTACCCACAGATTAGCTGGGACACGTCCTCATGGTGATGTCAGAGGCACAAGAAAGCAAGCCCGTCTGGGCAAGTGCATTTTAATCCTCTGGTTAAGTCATGTCCACTAACATTCCACTGGCCAAGCAAGTCATACGAATAAGTCCAAGTCAAAGATACGGACACGTTGCAGCAGGAGTGAATATTTCTGAACAGTGCTCGAACCTATCATTGCTTAGATAGCACTCCTTGCAGGAAGCATCTTCTGGCCCTTGAGACCTAGTCAGAACTTACACCTTATTCTTCCCTATTGTTATTGCCCCTTTCATTATTTTTCTGCCCTGTTAGACGGAAAACTCTGTGGGGCAATCATTACGATACGTCTTGCTTACTCTACGTACCCGATACCACCTGGCACAGTGCTGGGTACATAATAAATCCTCGATAAATACTTTCTATAGGGGCCAAGGCAGGACATCAGCAGAGAAAATCATCTTTCTTTGCCAAGAGGTGAAAACAGCCTCAGTTTCATTCCACTGTCTTGCAATTTGGCTGGCCAGAGCCCAGCTCTCCTAAGTAGAGCTCAGCCTGCAGGGAAGAGATAGAGTGGTGGATTCTTTGTTGCAGACTCCAGAAAGGCCATACAATGATGTGAAGTGATGACACTAGAGGTACCCATGGGTGACGATGCCTCCATGACCTTGGGCTTACCCTAGGACCCTAAGAGATTCCTTCTTTCAGCAGCTATGAGGAAAAAGGACCAAGATGTCTGAAGGAGGTTGGATTTTAAGGGCCCTTTAAATCTTGAGACTATGATTCAAATGGCAAGAAAGTTATCCAAAGTCCCAGGTGCCACCATTTCTGGAGACAACTTTGAAAAATAGTTAGATTTTTGAAAAATATAGATGCATCCTTTTTTTTTTTGTATCCTTCACAGTGCCCTATATGAAGACATACATGTAGTATGTGCTGGCAACATTATTACTGAGTAAATGAATAAATGAACAAATGATATGGGCAGATGAGTCAAGGCAGGTTTTTCCTTGCTGTATGAATTTGAAATTCATAAGTGAAGGCTTCCACTTGGCAAAGTGTGGGAGGAAGCAATTGCAATCCCTGTCCTCAAGACTCCCCAAGGATCCCTGTGTTCATAGACGAAGGACTCACATTAGCCAGGTAGAGTAGGTGTCAGTGTTCAGAGTAAGTATTTCCAGTCCTTTCCTACCTTCTGCTCTTGAAGAATATCAGAGAAGGAACCAGGGGATGGATCAGAATAACATTTCCTGTGCCAGATTTCCTGGCTGAAGAGAACATATTAGTTTTTACTCTGAGCTAGGAACTTCGATGATGTCGTTGAAACTGTGCATTGCAGTTCAATGTTTTTATTTGTGGATAGAAATTGCTGAGTTTTCAAATCCATTAACTGCTTGTCAGCATCAGCAAGCCTAATTAGTTAATGCCAAGTAAATTTGCACTAGATATACCGCCCTGGCTGATTTCACTGGCAAAGTATTGCAGAGGACAGCACCAGGGAGAAGGCTCTGTAGAGTTTCTGTTGGAATCGTGTGAAAAGCTGGAAGGAGGCTGTTATTCTGCTGAAAGCTTTGAGTGCTCACGCTCTCTCTCCCTCTCTCTCTCTCTCTCTCTCTCTCTCTCTCTCTCTCTCTCACACACACACACACACACACACACACACTCACACACACACTAATATTTTGGTGCCTCACTGTAGCCAATCGAAGTCATAGAACTCTGTTTTGTTAAGCTTGGCCTCAGCCATATGTTGCTACTCAGAGCATTTAACACCAGATTTCATCTGACTGTAAATGTTATTCATGGAGGCGCCTGAGGAAGACTGTGGCAGATCCAGGGGCCATTTAACTTTAAGGGTATTTTAATTTAAAACACGAAACCAAAACAAAATAACACTGAAACACACCATTTCGGTCTCGTCGCAGGCCTGAATAGCTTTGGTGCTGTGTTCTCATGGCAGCTTTCCAACTTGGGCTGTGCTTTTCTCCAACTAAAAGTGCAGATATTTTCTAAGACATTCCCTTGGTCCTGCCTACTCATGATATATATTTTTTTACATTTCAAGCTTGACAATAGTTGTTCCTTTCTCTCCTCCGTCTAGTGGTGTGGTGGGGACAGCAGAGTTGTGGCTGGGGGAGGACAGAGGAGGAGGGGGGTGGACAGAGGAGGAGAGCAGGGAAAGGAATGCCATCTGCCTACATCTCCCTGTGTCCTTATAGCCCCTGTTTTCTGAACATTTTCCAAGCCTGGGCACTGTCGTAGGCCTACCACCGCAGAGGGCAGGATGGCCAAATCCCTCCCCTGTCCTAGGACCTGCACTATAGGTGTGAGTGTGTGAGTGGGTGCATGTGTGTGCTTGGGACTGGGGAGAATAAACACAAACACAGGAGGATTTCACGTTGTGATAAGTGCGATAAGGAAAACAGAATAGTGCGAGAGAGGGAGGCTGAGATTGCAGGGGCTTGAGGCTGCTGCCTTTGGAGTAGCAGAAGGTTTTTCTGCAGAGGTGGCTTTTGAAGACTGGGGGAGAACTGCACCCAAGGAAGAGGGAATAGTATTAAATAGATGCAGATCCCCTGAGGCTGGGAGGAGCTTAGTTCCATTAAGGGCAGCAAAAAAGCCAGCGTGAAGAAAGAGAGTGAGGCAGGAGAGAGAGGCAGGAAGAGCTCGGAAAGGAGGATGGAAGCTGGACCAGTTGGACCTTGCAGAGGGTGGAAAGAAACTTAGATTTTATTCTGAATTAAACTGGAAGCCACTTGAGAGGTTCAGCAAGGGGAGCTTCTTGGTCTGCTTTACACATTTAAAAACCTCACTCCTGCTTGACTGCACACCTCACATTCCCTTTTCGGATGCATTTGTAATAGAGGGGAATAAAGGCTCACTAGAGGCTGTGGAAGGAAGTCACCTGCTTAGCAAATGCCCTGAAAGTGGCTGGAGGGAGGGTGTGTTTGTGAGAATGGGACGGCTCTCAAAGGAGGTGGGAAAATGAAAACCACAGAGAGATGAGACCCAGGCTTGGATCTCTGAGAGCCTCAGTGTTCCCAGCCACCATCCTAAAATGGGTCTTTAAGCAAGATGAAAGATTGACTTGCAAGTGTCTTTGGAATTTCTCTTACTTCCCCTTCCCAGGAATTTCAGCTTTCCTGGGGCTTGGTCTAAAGCGGTCCTCTCTGTGTCTTCCCACCCGCAGTAACAAGGGCATGGAGCATCTGTACAACATGAAGTGCAAGAACGTGGTGCCCCTCTACGACCTGCTGCTGGAGATGCTGGATGCCCACCGCCTGCACGCGCCCACCGGCCGCACGGGGGTGCCCATGGAGGAGGCAAACCAGGGCCAGCTGGCCACCCCGGGCTCCACTTCATCGCATTCCTTGCAAAAGTATTACGCCACCGGGGAGGCAGAGAGTTTCCCTACCACAGCCTGAGAGCTCCCGGGCTCCCCCGAGGTTCTGAGAATCCCTGCAGCATTTTACCCTCGTCATGCATCACTTTAGCAGATTCTGTCTCCTGCACACGCTCCGGCATGCACCCACCACCAGCGGCTTTCTAATATGAGTGGCCATTCGTCTGCTTGCTAAGTTCTTAGTGGCACGTCTTCTGTTGGGAACAGCCAAGGGGATTCCAGGGCTAAATCTTTGTAACAGCTCTCTTCCCCCCTTTGCTACATTACTAAGCATGAGGATTCTTATAGCTCCTCACAACTGAACTCAGTCTATGAGCTGGGGCTCCGATGACTTTGTGCATTGAAGCTACTTGTAGAGACCCAGGCCTGGAGAGTAGACATTTCACCTCTGATAAGCACTTTGTAATGGCTCTAAGAATAAGCCACAGGAAAGAATTTAAAGTGGCTCCTTTAACTGCTGACTTGGAGAAAGCTAGGTCAAGGGTTCCTTATAGCATCCTCTTGTATTCCTATGGCAATGCATCATTTTATTAAAGTGATACCTTAAAGCTTTTGCACTACTATGGCAGAATATTTAGTGATTGTCTACTCGTTGTTCCATAGGAATACAAGATGCACATAGGGAAGGAAGATCCTCCAATTGCCAAGACTATTTCAACTTAATACACTGCGACTTCAGGCTTGCTGAAAGCTCTGCCGCTGGCTTTCTAGAGCACGACGTGCAGGTCATGGGTCCCAGTTAATTCCCGCTTCCCATGGACCTATGGAAAACAGCAAGTTGATTTGAGTTAAGTCACCTCCACATATTTCAGTCTCCCTATACGAGGGATAAGTTCTTGATTTTTGTTTTTATTTTCATTTTATAAAAGAAAGCCCTCTCCCCCAGGATTTGCAGCAAAATCAGCTTCAGGACCTGTTCTGGTGGGATCTCACATTTATCAGCAGTGTGTGCAACTTACACAAAAGGTGAACTATTCAGGTGTGGTGTCCCGCAGAGGACCTAGGGCATTCTAAGTGAGCAGGGACCCCGCTGGTACTTTTAGCCCTGGGGTCTGGGGCTAAACAGTGAATGTGCACGGTTGTCTTGGCTACTGGAGAGCAAGAAGGGAAGTAGGGGAGACACTGGATGAAACTCGGAGGCGCAGTCAGCCTTGCTCAGAGTGGCCCTGCTACAGGCTGCAGCTACCTAGGAATCTCTTTGCAGACCCCGCCCTGCACTAAGGGGCTGCCCTGAGATCCACGGGGTAGTCACTTCCTGGTGTGGCCCTGATCGAAAGAAGCCCAGGTGGCAGCTGCAGCAGACAGGCTCACTCCTGCCACAGGGCACCCTTCCCTGAGCCTTTGTTTCTCTAGCACAAATTATGGATTATTTCCTTTTCTTGACTAAAAAGAAAGTTTACTTTCCTCCTGGAGACTTCACTGTCTATACTTCAAACCCCACTGAGAGGTGATGTGTTAGCCAAGAGGCCAGGCAAGCTGCGAGGGTGACTCTTGGTGTACCCTGTGTGGAAGAGTGGATTGCACTAATTTCTGATTAGCCAGTTAAGTGATTGCCAAAGCACTGGGAATCTGGGAGGGCAAAAAAAAAAAAAAAAAGAAAAAAAAAAAGAAAAAAAGTTTTTCATAGATGTTTGTTTAAATTTGGGGGCAATTTTATGTATCCGTGTTAAGAATATGTTTAAGAACATAATTCTTTTGTTGTTTGTTTAAGAAGCACCTTACTTATATAGTATAATATATATTTTTTTGAAATTGCATTGCTTGTTTATCAGACAATTGAATGTAGTAATTCTGTTCTTGATTTAATTTGGGTTAACATGCAAAAACCAAGGAAAAATATTTAGTTTTTTGTATACTCTTCAAGCTACCTTGTCATGTATGCAGTCATTGATGCCTAAAGCCTGGTGATTATTCATTTAAATGAAGATCACATTTCATATCAACTTTTGTATCCACAGTAGACAAAATAGCACTAATCCAGATGCCTATTGTTGGATATTGAATGATAGACAATCTTATGTAGCAAAGATTATGCCTGAAAAGGAAAATTAAATTATTCAGGGCAGCTAATTTTGCTTTTACCAAAATATCAGTAGTAATATTTTTGGACAGTAGCTAATGGGTCAGTGGGTTCTTTTTAATGTTTATACTTAGATTTTCTTTTAAAAAAATGAAAACAAAACCAAAAAAAAAAAAAAAACACTTCTAGGACTATAGATGATGTAATACCAGCTAAATCCAAACAATAATATGTGGAGGGTTTTACATTCTTCATCTAGTGTATTTGTATTCATGCTAAGATACTACTACATTTGAAATGGGCAGAGAGCATGAGATGGTCGAAATGTTAGCCCAAGGGTCTCAAACAATTTTGGAAATCTTTTTTATTCTTACTTGAAGTGCCACTAACAGACAGCCAAGATTTTCCAGCTGATGTTGCTGTTGGGTGCAGGGAACATGCTGGGAATTGCTGCTTGCACTTTTCCCCCACTCTGAGGCAACTTAAAATTTGAAAGGTGTGATTTACCTTGGGGGTCAGCGGTAGGGTTGGGGAAGTGGGTTCAGGAATTTGGAGACTGGGAAAGATAGTACTAAAAGTATTAAAATATTTTGAGGCAAATTAATTATGATGCCTGGGGTGTGCACCAGGGTTCAGTATTCCACTTCTGCCCTGTTAACCACAGATAACTGGCTCCATTGACAGCCATCTCTGGAATGGCAGCCTCAGTTCAGAGGAAGCAAGAACAACATCAGCAGGACAGCCCAAGGCATAGCTAGCGGTCTGTGTTTCCTTTAGCCATTGCCTAGCTTGCCGTCAGGATTCTGTGATGCTCTCGTGCAACGATTAAGAGAGGATTGGTAATCCAAAGAGAAGACCCTATCCATGCAGGTTGCAAAATCCAATCCCCAAGGAAGTGCGTTCTTTGATTAAATTTCCCTAGTAACCTTGCAAACGTGTTTAAGCCTGCCGTATCTCATGCCTTTTCGGGGCTGAACAAATAAGGGATTTACTGATAATTTACTTTTGACCACATTAAGGTTTCTCACATTGAAATCTTATACATTGAAATGGCCATTGATTTAGGCCATTGGTTTAGAGTAGCCCTTCCCCTGCATGACACCAATTATAGATCCCTTCCTGTTCACATTTTCCAACCATGAGATGAAACGTGGATACTGGGAATGATCACTAGGACCACAGTAATGTCTAATACTCACAGGCAGACCTTGGCAAAACTAGTCATTTGAAAGATAAATAGAGTCATACAGTAGCTCATAAGGCAACCCTAATTCTTTTGGGGGCAGGTCTTGGGAGGTTGATCCACATTACTCTGCACCCTTCCTAGGGAACCCCCGAAAACATACTCTCAACTGGAGCAAATGAACTGTGGTCCCAGATATCCATCTTTTCAGTAGTGTGATTATGCTCTGTTTCTAAGTGCATTTCCTTTCCATTTGAATTAAAGTGTGGCCTCGTTCTAAGTCATTTAAAATTGTTTTCTAAGTAATTGCTGCCTTTATTATGGCACTTCAATTTTGCACTGTCTTTCAGAGATTCAAGAAAAATTTCTATTCTTTTTTTTTTTTTTTGCTTCCGACTGTGCCTGAACTTTTTAAATATGTAAATGCTGCCATGTTCCAAACCCATTTTCAGTGTGTGTATACAGAGCTGTGCACCCTGGAAACAACATACCGTCCCATAAGCAGGTGCCTGTGGCACGGACCCCTTTGCATTCACAGAGAGGTCATTGGTCATAGAGACTTGAATTAATAAGTGACATTATTGCCAGTTTATGTTCTCTCACAGCTTATAAACAATGCTTTCTGTGCACTACACGTCCTTCAGTGTAGAGCTCTTGTTTTATGGGAAAAGATTCAAATGCCAAATTGTGTTTGATGGATTTATACGCCCTTGCGCTGATGCATACTATTATTGATGTGATTCAGTTTTGTCGCAGCTTTGCTTTGTTTAATGGAACGCACTTGTAAACCTCTTTTGCACCTTGAAAAAGTAAAGAATCCGGCGGGATGCTCGAGCACCTTGCAAACAATTTTCTCAAACTATTTGATGTTCAAATAAAGAATTAAACTAAAAACAACAGGATTGTTTTTTCTTTTTTATTTTATTTTATTTTTTTTGTAAGCTCTGCTTCTTGCTAACCATTCACCACTGATCACCTAAAATCAAAGTGATTAAAGGGTCAGTAGGGGACACAGGGAATCTGAATGCCAGGCTTCCCTCCCTCCGCCCTCCCCACCTGCCCTGGGTGGATCAGGAAGTGGGTGGACACCGAGGTCAGGCAAAGCTGGCCTCAATTCTTGGCACCGCCACATACAAGTTTTCTGATGGTTGGCGATTGATTTTTCAGAGTTTCAGCTTCCTTATCAATAAAATGGGGATAATAACACCTAATTCACAGGATGGTAGTGAGGACTAAGTGAGGTGCTCATTGAACACAGCAGTTGTTTTCCAATGGCCAGCCCAGACCCCTTCCCTGTGAGGGAGAAGAAGGACACTTGAGAGTGGTTAGCTATGAATGAATGAGTGAATGGGCGAGTGAATGATCTGAAACTATTAACATATGAAAAACTCCCTTCCGTTTTCAGAGCTACCTGCATGCTCCCCCTTGACCCATTTTCTCGGTGATTGAACTGATGAATTGAAGGCAGGGAAACGTGATGTACTGATGGGGCAACACAGTGTACGCACAGGCTTGCAGCTAGATGACTCAGTTTGAATCCTCATTCTACCATTATTGGGCAAGTTAATTCCCCTGTGCCCCAGTTTTGTCACTTGTACGGAAAGAGAATCATGCCACCTGCCTGGAGGGCTGTTGTGAAGACTGCGTGGTTCACTCTCAGGGAGCCTGTGAGGACAGGGGCTGACACTGCTCCTCCCTTTCCAGCTGCGTCTCTGCACTCAGTTATTTATTCCGATGCGTTTAGGTTCTTCACACTGTTCGAGTTATTTGGATTCCAAGAAATGATTTCATTTTCTTCTTCTGTCATTCCCTTGGCAAGTTCTTCAATCCCTCTTTCCATGGGTTTCCTCATTTCTAAAATGGAAATCAGAACAGCACACGCCCCACAGAAGTCCTGTGCAGATTAGAAGAGATGGCTTCTCTCAAGTGTCTACCATAGGAGCTGCACATAGCGAGCGCTCACTCCGAGGTAGCTGTTGTTATTGCAATTATCCTTGTCCTGTCTGAGCATCTACATTTAATGGAATTATTGGTATGTTTAGCTTTCCACTTTCCATTTTGTTATTGTTTTGTACATGCCTCCTTTTTTATTCCTCTGTTCCTCATAACTGCCTTTTGCTGTTGTTAGTGATATTGTGATATAATAAAAAATATGTATTTAATCTATACCCCTGGTTTCTGAGACAGCTCCTAAAACTCTTGTAGATAAGGATGCTAGGAGATTCTTTTATAGTTGGTCTTTGACTCTGGTTTCTGCCGACACAGAGCTCCTAAATCCCTTATAATTTCTTGGGTGATAGAAACATCTTTTGTTCTAATGAGGCAACTCTTGGTGGGCTCTCAGATAGCCTCAGGATGGGGAACCAGCCATGTGATTAGATGGTTGGAACTTCCAGACCCACCCTTCAACCTCTGGGGAAGTTCTAGAGAGGCTCTGGAGAGAGGCTGATGGTTGAGTAGATCACTGATGGCTAATGATGTAATCAATGGCATCTATATAATCAAGTCTTCATAAAAATCCAAGAGGATGGTGTTCAGAGGGTTTCTGGGTTGGTGAACACTTGAGGGTGTCTGGAAGGTGGCACCTGTAGGGGGCATGGAAGCTCTGCAGACCTTCCCACACACCTCGCTCTATCCAGGTCTTCATCTGTCTGTTCATCTGTTTCCTTTGTAATATCCTTTATAATAAACTGATTAACATAGTAAGTGTTTCCCTAAGTTCTGTGGGCCATGCTAACAAATTAGTCAACCTGAGGATGGGGTTTATGGGAACTCCAATTTATAGCCAGTTAGTAAGAAGTATAGGTGACAACCTACTGCTTTGCAATTGGCATCTGAGGTGGAGAAAAGTCGTATGGGACTGAGTCCTTAACCCGTGGTATCTAACTCTAACCCCAGGTGGATAGTGTCAGAATTGAACTGAATTATAGGACACCCAGTTGGTGTCTGCTGCAGAACTGGTCACTTGTGTGGAGAGGCCCCCAGGCCCCACCCTCACATCTGGTCACAGAAAAGTGTTTTGTGTTGTGAGAGAAAAGTAGGATAAAACAGTTTTTCCCACCTAGATTGTTAAGTACATATTTTGGGGTATCGTTTTAATTCCTATGTTGATTTTTAAAATTATTTTAAAAATTCTTTTCTTAGTAGTTGCTCAGTGTGTACCTTAACTTATTATAGTCTATTTCAAATTAATACTAACTTAAATCTGATAAAATCTTTGCTTCAATATAGCTCTATTCTCTGAATGTCATATATATTATTATCTGTATACACTATAAACCCAGAAATATGTTCTATTGATTGATTGGCTTTACAACTTTATATTTTGTTAATAGTTGGTAAGAAATGAGAAAAATATATCTATAGACTTTAAAAATATTTATCTACATATTTACCATTTCCAGTGTGCCTCATTTCTTCCTGAATTTTTGAGCTTCTGTCTGGTGTTATTTTCTTTAAGCCTGAAGGAATTCGTTTAGTATTTTTTGTAAGGCAGGTCTATTAGTAACAAATTCTCTTGATCTTTGTCTACCTGGTAATATATGAATTTCATCTTCATTTTGTGTAGGGCAATTTTTCTGGATATAGAATTGTTGGTTGATGGTGGTGGTTGTTTCATTTAGCACTTTGAATATATACATCATCACTCTGCCTTCTGGCCTTCATTGCTCCCAATAAAAATTCAGAACCACCCATGTTTTGACATTCACCTGTGTCTGACAAATCACTTTTTAAAAATCTGCTTTCCAGATTGTCTTTGTCTTTGAGCAGTGTGACTATGATATGTTTAGGTGTAGTTATTTTTGTATGTATCCTACTTGGGATTCATTTAACTTTTTGGATGTTTTTCCTCAAATTTGGGAAGTTTTCAGCCATTACTTTTTCAAATAATTCTCTCCCCTCTTATTTCTCTCCCACCTTGCTGTGATTCTCCTTACATATATGTTGATATGCTTGATGTTGTCCCACAGGTTCCTGAGGCTCTTCTCATTTTTCGTCCATCTTTTTCCCTCTCTATTCTTCAAATTAAATAAATTCTATTCATCTATCTTCAAGGGGACTTTTTTTTTTTTCATCTGCCATCTTGAATCTGAGGTTGAGCTCTGTTGGGGTATTTTTTCATTCAGTTATGGTTCTTTTCAACTCTGGAATCAAAGTTGGGTTTTTAAAAATTATTTCCATCTCTTGAGAATTCTCCTTTGTTGATTCATTGTTGTCATACTTTAATTCTTCAAACATGGCTTCCTTTAGCTATCTTAATGTATTTATACATTCAACAGCTGCTTAAAGTCTTTGTTAAATCCAACATCTGGGAGACACATAAATAGATTCTTTTGATTTCTGTTTTTCTTGAGTATAGGGCACATTTTCTTGTTTCTTTACATATCTCATAGTGTTTATTAAAAGCTGAACATTTTAGATATTATATTGCAGCAACTCTGGATCCTTATTCCCCTGCTTCTTGTTGCTGCTGAGTTTTGTGGTTGTAATTTGCTGCTTTGTTTAATAACCCACTTGGGTTAAATATGTAAAATTTGCCTCTACTATAGTGTTTGGCCTCAGATGTTTCTGCTAGGTTCTTAAATTATTCTTCTTTTTGTTTTTAAGCCTGACTTCCTCCAAGTTGTCCCTGTCTGTATAACCTAAGTAGTTATCCAATGACTGAGCAGAGAATAATCTCAACTGCCCTGAGTCTGCCGGGCGCAGTGACTGAGCCTGTAATCCTAGCACTCTGGGAGGCCAAGGTGGGAGGATTGCTTGAGCTCAGGAGTTCGAGACCAGCTTGAGCAAGAGTGAGACCCATCTTTACTAAAAATAGAAAAAAATTGCCAGGTGTGGTAGTGCACACCTGTAGTCCCAGCTACTTGGTAGGCTGAAGCAGAACTTGAGTCTAGGAGTTGAGGTTGCAGTGAGCTATGATGACACCATTGCACTCCAGCTGGGAAGACAGAGGGAGATTCTTTCTCAAAAATAACAAAAACCCAAGCTGGTAAAGCTTCCATCCTCTGCCAGTGGATCTGTGTGTGGATAGGGGAGTACATTCAATGTCGAGGCTTTCAAATCTGACCCATATTTTTGCTGGGCTTCTTCACATCTCCTCTACGCATGCATGCAGCCCGTAGAGTTTGGGGCTAGCCTGGGCACTCTCTGATAGCCTCTGTGCATGTTTGCGGCCTTAGCCAACAACACGCTTGCCACAACCACAGCCCCAAGCTAGTGGAGCCATTGGCCCTCTGGGATTATCCACCAAATCAAATGAGCCCCCTGTGACCACAGCAGCAAAGCCGTCTGTCCTTAGGTCTGTCCTTAGGACCTACCCTGTTCTGGTGTGGACCAAACTGGAGCAGCCCCAGGCAAGGCGGCCACAAATTTGCACTGTATTTATCCAAAAACCAGCAGTTATCCAAGCATAAACATGTCTCAGATTATTGTATGCCTTTGGCCAACTTGCAGAGTGCTGCAATGGTTGTTTTTGTCAATTTTGTTCCACTTTATAGTTTCTTTTTGGAGCAAGGATGTACCAGTCTCCTCACTCAGCCACAACTGGAAGTCTCTGCTCTTCACACACCCTGTGCATCCCTTTTTACTCTTCTCAGAATACCATGGAACAAAGTTGTCTACATGTGCCTGTGTTCTTTCTGGTAATCAGCAAGCATTTGAGGAATATTTCACAATTTATGGAGCTTTTAAATGTATCAAACATAGTGTGCCAAGGTGGGAATGCTTGACTGAGGGGTTGATTCAACTAATACACTGGCTCAAGATCACATTCTCCAGTGTTATATATTCTTAAGCCTTTGAGGACATTTAAATTCAGAATTCCCATGTTTAGGTTTGCTTCTCCAAAAATACAGAATGTACGTTCTGGAGAAGCCAATTTTCATAGCCTTCAT